GAATGAAAAATAACGAACCGCCACGTCTTGATTACTAAGGATGTCTGCAATGCGATCATTTTCAATTAGCCTAGCGCTACCACGAATTATGAAAGTTCAGCTTTAAAATTAATACCGTTGAAAGAAAAACACACAAATTACCACAATAGTGGAACAATTCGTTTGGTTGCGAAATCCGGCAAATCATCCGTTGTATATTTGACACTAAACCAGTAGAAGTGACATGTTTGTGTTTGTACACGAACCAAATATGTTTTGTGTTGAGTGGAGAGAAAAAGAAAAAAAAGACATTAAATATTAGTAATTCAACGTTTGCTCGCAATGCTTCAATTATTCTGTTTTTTTTTGTGTTCTGATGAGTTGATCAAATATACTTTCACTTTTTGTTGTTCTGAGTGTATTTAGGTTATTTCAATGCATTGAAATGCCCTTGTAAGCTGGTGTGGGAAAGTATCAACCCTTAGCTTTCATCAATTTGATCAACCATCTAAACGGGAGCAACAATTCGAAAGCGAGACAAAATCACATCAACAAATGGCAATTTTATTTACATTTCATTCCCATTCTCTTTTCCATGTTCGTTCCATTCCATCTCACCACGTTTGCATTGTTTTCTTTATTTGACCGGATTTATTTGCATTGTACGCACTAGGAGAGAGAGAGAGAGAGAGAGAGAGAGAGAGAGAGAGTTTATTTTTATAGGGAAAAATCAACAAATGTTTTTATTGATGTACTTATGAATATTAAATGAGTATTTATCGAAATAAATACCATTGAATGTGTGCGCAGAGCAATATGTTGGTTGCGCCTTCTTGAACATATATATATTGACACGCACATCAGCAATTTCAGTGGCAGCATATAACATTTGATTTTGACATTCGGCGCAGCGGCAAATGCTTTTTTTTATAGGCACTTTGAAATCCCCGTCTGGCAGTCGGTGGAGAGAAAGAGAGGGAAAGATAGAAAAAAGCGACGGCATAGTTGGGAAATGGCATGCAATATTTAGTTCAGGTCAATCAGGTTTTATGCCCGCGAAATTTGTCAAAACAGACTGAATTGTCATCACATTTATCCACCTTCGCGTTACTCACGTCAACAAATCCATGAGTGCTTAGTTTAAATAAATGATTAACATCGATTAATTATTAAGTCAAACTTATGACTTTTACAATATCATTTTGTCTATCAATGGAATTAAATAAATAACCTTAAGTTACGCTAGGTAGCTACAAACCAGAAAGTAAAACCAAATTATCACGTTGGAAAAATTGGCTGATTGAAGAAGTTATTAATTTTGTAGCTAAAATCCAGACGGGAAGCGAAACTCGTGCCGCTCGCATCTCGACAACTTCCATCTAGTCGGTGCATGCTTGTTTCTTTTTATCACTGCTCACAGTTTGGATGTTTCTTTCTATTCGAAGCCATAAAAATTATTACAATCATACCACATGAATTTCGCAGTGGTTTCGCACTGTGTAAGTATGTGTACGATGCCAGTTTTGAGTTTTACACTCGCCTGTCATTCTTCTTAAATTGATACATGTGTTTAAGTGCGCCTGCATGTCATAAAAAAGCATATAAATGAAAAGATAATTAAATTTATGAGCTTAGATTCATTCGCCGCACGCAAAAACATTTCGGTTTAGAAATTTTTATTGAATTTTTTCTTCCTCTTCGCTCTTTTTCTCTGAGGTAATTCCATTTTAATGGTTCTCGGCATCCGCGCGCGCATCTGTGCATTTGTATGAGTGACGCTGAGTTATAGAAATATGAATCAAGATATTTTGTGGCGTTGTTGGTGTTATTGTCTGGGATGATGATGATTTTGTGGTCGGGACACTTTTAGAAAAGTATGTAAAATAAGAAGGAATGAAATTTAAAAAAATACGCGATAAAATCACGACATTTTTTCACAGAAACATTCTATCAACAACACGACAAATGATCCAGTACCGCAAAACCACTTTAACTGCAGTGCGGCATTCATATTGCCACATACCGTGTATCTCATCACGCGCCCCGCTCTAAATGGTGTAACTGTGCACACAAATAGGACGACTCGGCTCCTACTGTCGTTGTCATTGATCAGGAAAATTTACGAAATGACATTTGACGTAAATTTGAATCGATTTACGTTGACGCGATCATTTAGTCAAAATGTTAATGATTCGCGACAACTTGGTCAACTTAGAGTCGTCAGATTGTTTCTGCTCTACTAGTGGCAATTGCAACGATTGTCTATTTAAATTGACGTGCTCACCGCTCATACACCACGTCGTTCGTATTCACACGCATGAAAATAAAATTTTAAGAATTTCATCATTTTTCGTCGTTTCTTGCGCCCCAGTTGCTTTTTCGCATGTGCACTAGCGTGCTATGCCATTTCCCGGCTATTGCTTGATTGCACTTTAAACAGTAACAAAATGGAAAAAAAGAATTTGTTCACGAAATAGCTTGAGAGCATTTTCAGATGATTGTTTGCTTTTTTCTTCTTTTCTCGCTCTTTATTTTCGGCTCAATGGACATCTGATTTGTTATGATTTGAGAAGTAAGTTTGTTCGCCAATTCGATGGCACGCAAAAGCAAACATTCAGTTGACGAAATGGCAGAATAAGCCGAAGCAAAAAGCAAGCATCAAGAGTATGAATGAAAAAAACGACATTTTCGATCTTTTATAGCCAATTCAATCCTATACGTCCGATTGAAGCCCATTTGAGCAAATTATTAAAATTTTCGATGTCTACGTTTTACATACATAATTCATACTAGTGGAGATATCATTCAGCAACAAAATCGATGGAAAAAACCAACACATACTCATTCTGTCTGCTGCAGAAACAGAAAGAACACACGTCAAAAGAAAAATGAATAAAAAAAACTCACGAAGTGGATATAGAAAGGAAATGTTCGACATCGAAGCCAATTGTGATTGTGATGAGCAAATTTGCCAAGAATTTCGTCATTTTTACTGAAAACTATGCGCATTCATGCTTTGAACACATTTCATAACCATATGTAATGCGGACATGAAGCTGCCTCCGTACTCTTTGCATCGCACGGACTGCATGTGGACGTTTTTTTCCCCGTTTGTTTTTACAAAGTTTTGATTTATTAAGAATGTTTGTGTTGAGCGAACGCAGCAAACTGTTTCCTTGCCGTTCCATGCAAAATGGTGCTGCATGGCTCAAGACGCAGAGCGAGAGAGTGCTGATGCATGGACAATAGCAACAAACGCCTGAATTAACAAAATATTTTTATAGCGCTACCCATTTAAAATTCATATTGCATTTCACGTGCGAACAAAGCCATTCATATTAGAAGCAGGTTAATTGGCGTTCATATCACAGAACGCATTATGTCATTGTAATGCATGGCAATGGTTTGTGAGGCGAAAAAGGAATGACGAAAACAGCGGCTGACGAGCCGAAAGAATGCTGATGTGAACGCTATCCGTTTGTCATTTATTTGTCGACGACAACGGGCAAAGAGTTACTTCTTATTCATTTTCGGTGCACATTTCTCGATTTCACATCGTCGGAAAACAGCGAGCAAGTCACTTTATCGATGTATTCGTATTCTGGATAGAATTGCTTGCTGCTGACGAGCAATATGTCATAAGTTTTACAATGATGACTGGCAAAAAGCAGAGTAACAGACAAAATATTAATCAGCTCCCCGAAAACACAACAAACCAACGTCAGTGTCACAATGTTTTGCACATTACTGGAATGCGCTTGCACTGGCTCCCATACATCCCAGTCAGCCGAACGAAATTTCATTCAGCGAAAATGAGTCGAATGTTTTAGTTGTGATGTGAAAAATAGTTTAAATTTTCGATATTTTGAATTGGCAACAGTACACTTCTGCTGCACCGGCTGACCTTCGTTGATCGCAACTGGATTCTGCATATAATACAGTTTCGGCTAGTTAGTAGAAGAGACATCAATTGTTATTAATTGCATTTCTTTATGAAAGCCGTCGACACTGAGCGAATTCAAAGGGAACAGTGATCGAGCAAACGAGTGCCATGGCACCGGCCGATATGATAAAAATTAAAAAACAATTAAATTATGTATAAAACATGAGGCATGCCTGTATCACGAAGTCGATTTATTATTCATAACAAATAAATTGGTTAAATTTTCTTGAATGTAACATTCGTGAAATTACTCTCCGTGGTCTTGGGCACGTGGTTTTTTTTTTACCATTGAGCATTTATTTGGTATTTGCCCGTCTTTTGAATAAAATATGCAATTCTCATATTTTCATTCGCCGCTGCATTTGCCAGACCTCAATATTGTTTCTTCTTTTTTTTTTTTCTTTCATTTGGTCTTCACATCATATTATGCAATAAATGGCCGTTATGGAGAAGAAGAATATGGCAATCATTCCATGAAATCGTGTTTATGCATTTTTCTCATAACATTTTTCTTCCGAAGCATGAACGGCAGACGAATAAAATGTATCGAGAGTTGATTTTATATAGAATCCGTTCAAACACATACTGTGTACCATATTGAGCGGCTTGTATTCGCGTTTGCCGCCACCGTCGCCATCGATGTCGCCTGAAAGGACCATGATTATCAATTGTCTCAACATACAATCATATTTCAGTTATTTTTGGTGAAAATTTTTCAATTATCTTCGAACAATCGCATTTATTTATGACTGTTATGACATGTCACTCGCCACCAGCAAGAAAAGTGACATATTCATTTCAGTCGGCCTGAGATGAAATTTATGCATTTTTAATGAATTATACGCAGATATCAACAACTTAATTACTCAATGACAAGTAACAAGCAAATTCCATATTTCTTTATGTCTCTTTTTGTACCTTTTTTTGATCAGTGGACAGCTCTTGGATATTTCATTTATATACATGCAATTGAGAAAGAAATGAAAAGATTGTCTTTTTTGCGTTTACATTTTTCGTGATCTGAAATTGGATAAAACTAATCAATCGTATTTTCTTTCATTTTTTCTGACATTTTTAGCGGCCGCCGAGTTCATCGTTGTCATACGTCGGAGCAATGAACGATGATGTACGATCACCTGGTAGTGGGAGCACACCTGGACCATTATCACAACAACCACCTCACGGCTTAGACACAGATCCCGGTAAGTTCAATTCGATATTTACACTAGACCACCAAATTTGATCGATCGAGCATCTCGAGACTCAGGCTCACTGGACATTTTTTTTTTTTTTAAGATTTGAATCAAAATTGAATTGTCGATTCGAAAGTAAGATAATGTGTCTGCCTTAATAATTGAACCTTTGTCTATGGTTCAAAACGAATATCAAGATGAAACGGAATTCCGTTTGATTTTGTGGTCTTTTTTTCGATTGACTTCATCTTAATAAACCATACAAAATGAACAAAATCCGTAGTCAGTATACCCATATTCCATACCGCATAGACATTCTAATTGTTTGAACAGATACATTTTTACCCATATTCGTTTATCTCAATCGCATCTGACAACGCAGAGGAAAAATGAAAAGTGTATTCAGGCAGAAAATGCAATGTAAAAACTATTTAAAGCGAAAATTAATTCAATTCATAGAAATCAACTATCTGACGACCCCCGATGAAATTGCTTTAAATCTGTTGGATGTATGCCGTGTTGTATAACCGTTGTGTCTGTGCGTTGCATGTTTGTGTACTTTTCAATTGATAAAACACAATAAAAACACGAAAATCCCTAAAATAAGTGCACAAGTACAAACCATAAGAGGACTTGATGGTTTTTCATATGTTTCCTCTCAACCTTTTTTCCGCTTGCCATCATTTCCATCAGATTTTCACTCTCCTCGTATTGTTTGCGAATGATGGCAATGGCCAAGGACCAGATACCTAGAATACTATGAATGTGGGGACGACGCCGTCTAATTTCCGTGCTGCCAAAATATGCACGCTCTACAATGAATTCGGTTTTATTTGAACGAGTGCCATTAGCATTAGCCAATTGACGATAATTCCATCGTTTTTTAAACACATCTACGTGTATGCGTATCATTGTATTTTTCGGTGGTGCGTCTGTTTGTCTCTCTGCCACATTAAAAATTTATAGCATTCAATAGATGAAAGTACACGCAAACACAACACTGAGTTCAACCGCTGAGCATTGCTTCAAATTCGATCGTCAAATAGACGCGTCCACGTAAACATTTGCCTTATGATGTGTATATGTTTAGTGAGCGCGTACTTTTTTTTCTTTCGCTCTACGAACGCATTGTACAAGGGGTTACACGCGCGTTTTGGCTTTGATCGAAATAATTTCTGGTGTTTGTGTGTATTTCTGTTTAGGATTTTGATTTAAAACCATTATATTTAGACGGGAACTGTGAGTTTGGTATTTCAATGCGAGAGAGAGAGATCGTATTTTTTTTGCTGGTGATTTTTTTTCCCTTTGTTCTTTTCAACATGGTGGTCTGAAGCGTTGATTTTTCATTCTGTTTTTGCGTTTAAATCTATTCTTTGTCGTTGTTTGAAGTTTTTTTTTTCCTCGGTTCATTTTAGTTGAATTGTTTGTTGTGAATGCTTCAATACAGAATTTGTTTGCATGCATGTGTGCAGGCATTGTCACCGGCTAATTTTACGACGACTAAAGTAAAAACATAGGGCGCATTGTTACAGTTTTCCTCTTTTTCGTCTCTCTCTCTCTCTCTCTCTCTCACTCTCATACACACTCTTTCTTTTCCACGAATTTCTCTCGCTGTGACAATGTCGAAGCGATCCCGAAAAAAAGAGCCATGCACACGTTGAACAATGCCAACAGATAGATGGATATGTAGGTAGGGTGCGGCCAAAAACGTAGGGCGCAAATCGAATAAATTTTTCAAAAAGGTAACTTTTAAATCAACAGAAGTGGTTTGATGTTTCAAGTTTATTTTCTTTACATTAGGTGCTTTTCATGTTCCATTTCATTTGGTGAGCAGCAATACTGTTTCGGTGCCATCCGTATTGATTGTGCGTCGAAGCGACGACACTCTTTACAGCATTCATTTATGTGACAGTTAACACTCAAAGAGTCATTGAAAATGAAACGAATCGTGTAGTAATGGACAATTTTAGGTAGAAGTTCTTGCTGTTATTGTTGTTGTCGTTGCCGTTGTTGCTCCCTGTCGAAGTATTGTTTTGTTTTCGATTTGATCGTAGTTCACACGTCATTTTCTACATTTTGCTTCGTTTTTTTTTCCTTCATAATTCGATGGCTGCGTGTGAAAACTGGGCGACCAAGAAATTATTTAACATACAGACACACAAACACAGAGATACCGGAACGAATGAATTTTCGATGAATTTCGTAACATTCGTTTTGTTCAAATCGTTGAGCTTGAGCATTCTAACGTGATTTCCATCAGTAGATAATGCTGACAATCAAATTTCACATTGAATTATTTACATGCATTCGAACTTGAAATGGATGAAAGTAGAGAGAAGAAGAAATATCACAAAAATTATGGTGAACGCAATATGTATTTGGGGTGAATAGAACACCAAATTCATTAAAATAAAATTCATCGTATGCTACGCCGTAAGCCAGATGACTTGTGTTGAACAATATCGAGAATAAATAGAATCATTTTTGCGCATTCTAAGCACCACAATGTGGCTTCACAATTTGCTGCTAATCAAGTCGAACGGTAATAGCTGTGGCACAATTCATCGACATTTTTAGTCACAATTTCGAACAGCCATAAACTTAATGGATTAGTGTTACTTCTCTGAAATGATTATAACCATTTTACACAAGGGATTTGCCTCCGATTTCATTTCACAGCTGTCACTTAGATCATGTTCACATTTATATCTCTTTCCAATTTTTTTTTCTTGTGCCATTGAAAAAGTATTGACACTTTTGGAAAAAGGCATTTGTTCGTCAAATTTCATGATTTTATCGTTTTGAACCTGCCCTCAAAGAATGTATCCATTTTTGATTCAATACTTTGCGTTGATAATTTGATGTTTTTCATACATCATTGCAAGAAGTTGTTCAATGAAGGACGAGCCTTCGCAAACGAGTGAGAAAAGAAAAAAAAAAACAAACAAACAAACTAAGCACCAGCAATCGATCGATGTGAGTATGTCGACAAATTTGAGTTGGAATTGGGTCCTGTTTGCACAAGAAATCATTAAATCAAAGCAAATACAATTTAATGAATTCATTAGGCAGTAAGAAAAAGGAGTGTTACTCTGCACTCTCCATTGGGTTCGACCGATGGTGTAATTATTGTTAGTGGTAATCATGAGGCCCGACCTGCGCTTTTTATTTCATTTCTTGATGAAATCAAATTAGCGCACACGGTCTTATTACATGGGATATTATTTTGACATTGTCGCGGTGAATGTTTGTAAAAAAAAAAGCTAAAGCACACTTTCGGTAATCATCGCGCGATTAATCGATGCAAATGGCTGATTTTTATTTTGACTCGCTGTGTGTGCGGCGTGGCGTTAACATATCCAACGAGAATGAACTAATATTTTCTATCGAACTAATAAAAACGTCACATTGACACCTGAATACAAGGGACCATAAATGTGAATGTAAGCAAATATTGCGGAGAAGCGAGCGATAGAGGGAGAGAGAAATGAAATAAAATAAAATGAAATTAATGTAATTTTTGTAAGGGCAATTTAAGAAAAACTACGACTATTAACGAAAAATCGTGTTTGCATGACACAACTAGCGGCGAAAGATTTACCAAAAAGAAGAGAGAGAGAGAGAGAGAGAGAGAGAGAGAGAGAGAGAGAGAGAGAGAGAGAGAGAGAGAGAGAGGAAGAAAAGAAAACACACACACACACTGAAACTGAAGGAATGAGGTGGCTTTTGACTCAACTTGAACATGGTTACGAGATGTTTAATATGTGTCCAATGCGACCGTTGCGTGGAAAAATTCGTAATACAGACCCAATTTGAGGGCAATGTTTTGCAATCGTATACGAAAATGTCGCATGGCAGAAGGTTAATAAAATACGATGAACGTTAAAAATAAATGTCACTTCTAACCTCCACCTTCATCGTCGTCGTCTCCTCGACGAAAGAAAATAAATGCTGCGACTCCGGCTCTCATCATGAAAGGAATTGGAAATGAAATGAAAAGAAAAGAAAAAAAAGGGACAAAAAAACCCAAGCACATTCACATTCACATGCGCACATTTGAATATTGAGCCAAACGGAAAAGAGCCAGCACATGAAATGCCATGACTTTAGAATGTCTACAAGTGTTTCATTTGCCTGGTCAGAAATATCTGTACAAAACATCTAATAATAAAACTGTCGAGTTCATTACGACCATTAACTCTCTCTATATATATAATACTTAAATTAACTTGTGCATTACCATTTGATACAACATTATTATCGGTTTTTATGTCGAAACAAGTCATTTGGTGCTCTCTATCTCGCGCGCGCACAACCGCTCGTTTCGGCAAATCAACAACAAAATTTACACATTTCACCGGAAAAACAGCAATAATAGCAGCACTAACGACGAAAAACTTACCTTTTACCATTTGAGCAGAGGAGTCATTCCGTTTCGTTGTACACGCACATGCCAAATTAATATATGAAACACAGGCAGAGACGAGAAAAAAAAAGTAAACTGTCCAACTATCATACCAGTGTACTGTGTGTACTGTACATCGCCTGGGCAATACACACAATGCAGACAAATATTACAGCATTCTCAAAGTGTATCAGCTCATTTTCGTCACCGTTAGGCCGTGTTCGACACTTGAAACAAAAATATTGTCCTCGAAACACATCTGAATGTGCAAGCCATATTGGCAACGGTGGAAAATCTTTAGAACGAGAAAACTTTTGTGACTGTTCAAAGTTATGGCATACATAAGGATAAAGATGGCCACGAAATTGAAACATTGCAAAATTGGTGGTATTTCGAAAATCCATCCAAATACAATGACCTAATGATTGCACTTATATTACAATTAACTCTTCGAATTTATTAATCGAAAGCAATGGATATCCGTTGAATTAAAACGCTATTCGAAATTGTGTTTGCTTCATGGGTCATGGATTCCCAACGTTTCGGGAGCAATTGATGTTATTGAATGACACGCAAATATAGAGGCGCATGCTGCCGTTTGCTT